GCCCTGCATATTTTAGAAGTTTCCCTGCTTTAACGCACCTGATTCAGATGATTGCCAGTTCAACAAAAGCCTGTTAATCAGCTGTCAATTGAAATCAGCTGTGTTGAAGCAGGGAAATATCTAAAACATTCAGGGCAGTGTGCCTTAAGGATCAAGGTTGGAAAAACACTGGTTTAGAGTCGTCAAAGCCTCTACTAGACATACAGTAGCCGTTTTTGTAGGGATGCATTCATATCGTATCGGCCAATATTGGTCAATTTTTAGAATATTGGTATCGGTCAAATATGTAAAACTAGGCCAATATTAATGACCGATATTGATTTCCCACTTTTTTGCTTTAGTTTCTGTTTTGGGAGGAGAGATGGTTCGTTGAGCAAAATCTGTTTGATCACGATAGTGATATTGATGCTGCACAGCCAGGAATAGCTGAAGCAGASAGCCATGTCAGAGGTCTGGTTGTTTATTTACAGTATCAAAACAGACCCAAGTGTGTTTGTGGGTATATGTATAACTTTTGTATTTTTTTTTAATATCAGTAAATATTGGTTATCGGCCATAACATATGTCGTTATCAGCTGAAATTTTCATATCGGTGCATCCCTACGTTTTTGCATTAAAGAGAAGAAGTGGTTGTATGTATGTGGTCTTTACGTTATGGCTGATTGCTCTAGGAAGAATAGATCCCAATGTAAAAATTCATTTGACAATTTTATTAATCAAAAACATGACACTCACCCAGACCTTCTGGTCTCCAATAAGGTAAGTAGCACTTGAGTTCCATTAACRATGGAGACCTCACTCCTCTCACCTTCAAACATGTTTTTGAGGAGCCCTGCTACAGTCTCCTGCCTGAAAGGAAAGAAACAAAGCTGACGAACAAATTTCCTTTTTCTTTGCTTCTGGTACATAAAAAACAAAAAAAAATTCCAAAACCTTAATTGTTGAACAGGTTCTGTCAATAATTTTTTTTCTCGTATGCGAGAAAATGGGCCTCATGCAAGAACCGTCCGTACGAACAGATTTGTTCTTAAGTTGTGCATACGAGTGATTTAGGAATACTTGTGGAATTCACCAATTTTTTATATTGTAAGATTTTTTTCAGATAGGAACAAAATTCACGAGTGGTCCAGACCTGTCGTATATTTTACGWGCAGTCATTCTGCTGTTATCCAGATGGATTTTCTTCACTAATAACTTTAAATTTCATTAGTTTGAAGATATTTTGAGCTGAAAGTAAATCACACCCCATAAATATGTTGACAACAGGCTATTCTGTTTGAATTGGAATTATAATTTTAAATGTAATAATGTCTAACAATATAAAACAACTTAAATTCTGCATTAATTGAAGTTTAATTTGTCTTGGTATATAATAGGCTTTATACTGTAGATTGTTGTTGTTTTTTTAATCCAATTTTATTTTGTTGAGATTTATTCAGCACATCAGCTACGCTATTTTCTCCAAAGTGACAGACATATTTTGGAGACATTTTAAAATGCTTTTTTCAGAACCACATCTGATACCACTTGTGACGGCAGGAAAGACAGGGGTGGGGGGGTGGTGTGACTGGCATATCGAACTTTGGCTCTTCTAAATGAAAATTAACACAGTTGTTTACACTTGAATTAGAAATATTTGACCAAAGGAAAATCAGAGCAGGACTAGAGAGAGATGAATATGATTACATTTTTAATTCTGTGACTGTATACGAACCACGGGAGACGTTGCATTAACAGCAGCTGTCATTTCATTCCTTGGCTTTAGCAGCTTTTTTTAATTCCACAGCTGACGCTACTAGTAATGAAGATTTTCCTTTCTGGATCTCAGAGAGCAGGACTTCAGTCTCCGAACTCGTGTAGTTCTTCTTTTTACCTTTTGCTGCCATTTTCATGAATGGACACTTCCTGGTATGTGGGGCAGGAAATGTAGCCTTACATGGTGTTTTTAGGATTGTAATTATGCTAATTACCTCTCCTTGTGCACCTGAATATGCATTCATCATATTTACGCTGCGCATTTACACTTTTCCTGAAGATAGAAGCATTTGTTAAATCTGACGTGGCATGTTCATACGAACAAAAGTAAGAGAAATTTAGGATAAGAATACAAACATGTTCTTGCATGAGGCCCATTAACAACTTTACAAAACATATAAAGCTCTTTGTCCAATTAGAGAATGCATGTGAGCTCTTGAACTACAATGTMTGCCTTTTATTTCTGCTATAATGAGTCAATGTTGATGTATTTTATGTTAAATAAATGCAGTGTTTTTTTCTTTTTATTGTTTAGTTGATTTTTTTTTCTTTATTTTTGTACTTAAACCCAAAAGCATCAGAAACTTACGACTCCAGTACAGCCAATAATGGGTCAGACTCCACATTCTCCTGCATCTGACTGGCCTGGTCTCGACTAAGGCGGATGATATCACAAAGCGTTTGGGATGCATTAGATTGTCTCTGGAAAGTAAACATTTAAATGAGAAAAGTAGAATAGCTTTGTTAGTAAATGATGAGAACTCAATGTGGCCGAACACCACCCACTCTGCTCTCCACTCACCTCCTCATCTTTGCCAGTATGGATAAGTTCTATAAGTTTCTGTACCAACCTTTCCTCATTCAGCCACTGGAAAAAAAACACAAAAATGAGTTCATATACACGTTTCAGTGGTTAAGTGTTCAGGCAGAAGAGTTACTGGGTGTTTAGGTAGCTTACATGCAGAACCTCCTGCCTTAACGGGGCTGGTTCCACGCAGCTAATGAGGCGAAGCAGCAGGTCCATCATGGCAGAGGCATCAATGTGTTTCAGCACCAGATCGATAAAGCCTTCCTTCTTCTTTAAAAATGTAATAACCTGAAAAAAAGGTTTGGTATTGGGGAGTTTTAAAAATGAACTACAATAATAATTTCCTACATGTTTTCATTAATGTGAACATTTTCACTGCACCTGTTCGGTTTTCCTGGCTATGAGATTGCCAATAGTTTTACTGAAGAAGCTGGCAAGTAGGGGGTTGAGGGGCGGGTCCTGTTCCAGGAAGTGGTACAGCACCTCCAGGAGTGACTCGTCCCCGCCAAGCTTATCATTTATTATGGTCACATCTGAAGTCAGGAGCTCACAAGCAATATTAGGAAACCTGACAGGAAAACAAACAAACAAACAAACAAAAAAACAATTACACAATAAACAGCAGATACAATGTAAAAAAAATTGTAATTATATTAGAATAAAATCATTTTTAACTGCAAGGGAACATTTAACAAAATGCTGTGTTTTTGTTTGTGTGAAATAAACACCATCTGCAAGCCACACACCTTTTCCTGACTATTATCTATTTGTTGTTTATACTAGTTGTCAGGCATAGTGATAGAAAAAAGTAATCATGATTAATCGTGGCATTTCCCCAATTCTGTTTGCCAGTCCACCCAGCAGCATTGTGACATTTTGTCTAAATTTTATAATATTTACCTTTTATTTAACACAAAAATTCTTGTCATTCTTGTTTTGTCTTCTTATGCTACRTTTAACTTTTACACTTTTGCTCATTTTAGCAACACTTTTGCTATACTGGCCTATTGCCTATTATTACTATTATGTTACTGTTCTGTTTTTAGCTCTAGTTCTGCTCTTTTCAGCTTTTGTTTTAACACCAACTCAGTTTTTGCTCCTTTAAAAGATTTTTTCAGTCATTCAGCTCACACTCAATTTTGACTGAAAATGTAATCTGTTTTTTATGGGGTTTTTTTATCAGATTAGAAATAAACCAGATCAGATTAGATAAAACCAGACCAGATCAGATTAGATCAGACCAGACCATCAGCTCTTACTTGAAGCGGCTCTTCTCCTCCAGGTCTGCAGGAGGCTCTGTGGTAATGAGGCTGACCAGCTCTTGCATGCAGTGGTCCTGAGACAGAAACAGGAGCAGTCGACGGTTTTGGGCCTTGCACTCCTGCAGGACGTCGTCTTCTTCCATCAGCTCTCTCAGTGTCACGTCCTCCCTGTCCAGCAGCTGGTCGATGTGGGACGAGGTGTGCAGATCAAACTTCCAAAACATGWTGGCTGCTGGGATGGAGGACTCAACCCTGAACCATGAGTGTGACAGGAGAGGCAGAAGAAAGATGTCAAACACAAAAACAACAAAAGAAAACACTGATAGTGTTGGAGAAAAGAGGATGATAAGAGAATCTGATCTGAACAGAGGTCTGTTCCTCGTGACCCGCCGCTTCAACACATCTGATTCAAATCAATTATCTACTCAGAAAGTCATCAAGATAAGCCTGTCAATCACTCATTTATTTCAGTCAAGTGTGTTGAAGCAGGAAAACACCTAAAACATGCAGGACAGTGGGTCACGAGGAATTGGGTTGAAGACATCTGATCTAGAAAATAAACAAAGCACTTTTACTTTTTKARAAAGCTGTTACAACAATAGTAGTTAGAAGTTTAATATTATGGCATTATCTTCACTTGTTAACATTAAACTGTTTCTTCTGACAACAGTGTTGATAAAATAAACAACCTGTTTGATACATGTCACTGTATACATTTTACGGGACTCTGTAGAATTAAAAACAAACAACATTGGAAAAAAAAACAAGATGCTTTAGGGTGTCAACTAAATAGTGCTGCTCTAGATCTATAAAATATGACAGATCTATAAGACTGTGTGACAGAACAACTTTGTTTAAAGCAAACAGGATTAGGACCCCCTGTGCAAATAAAGGCAGTCATCATCAGTCTAAGCTCTAAATACCAGTGTTGAGTTCTGACACATACCAGTGGATGAAAAATGGATATCTTTAATCAGACCTCCCCTGCAGGCAGGCAGGCATTTGTGTTTGTGCAGACAACAGAGAGTGTGGTGAGGCCTGGCATTTATCAGCATGGGTCTTCTCTTAAAACCAAGGCCTCTTCAGGAGTTCAGACGCAGCCAGGCTCACCATAATCTGAACAACATGAAGAGTTTATTATTAACAAATTGTGCAAATATACCGTGAAGCAGCAAAGTTCATCGTGTGCTTTTATTCCAAACTTGGCAATGAGTAAAGCTTAAATTCATCATTAATAAAATGATTCGTTTCTAGTAAACAGGTGTATCTACCGTTAGTTTGGTTCTCCTGGTGAAATAATCTACCTGCTGCTGACTTTGTTGCTCTGAGCAACTTGCTAACAACTGTTGATTGTTGAAATCTAAGTGCTTGCCCCCCTCCCACCCCACAGGAGGAGGTTTTCTTTGGGCAGCATCGTCCATCTGGCATACATTTACAGAGTACACAAGAGCAACAATAACTTGCTGAGCTCTCTCTGTGGACACTGAGCAGGAAGCCAAATGCTTGACTTTACATCCAAAATAGAAGGCACCAGAGGCAGCCTCAACAAAAACAGCCCATCAGCACACGATCATGAAAAGAGGAACAATAAAGACGTATGTGGCTGTTGTGAGCCAAAGCAGACAAGTTAACAAGGAGTGAAAACACTCCTGTACTTACAAAATGAAACAAATGTTTACTATGTTTCAGAGGTTATAATTAAAGTTTGCTTAAGTTTCTGGAGTTTGGGTTTTAGGACCCTGAGTTTCATAGAAGAAAACTTAGACAACTTTACATTTTAAGTGCCTGTGACATGCATTTCCAACAAATACAAAAACTGGACGAAAACATATTCTTTTTAAAGAAATTTGACAAAATACACTTTGTTTTACCCGTTTTGTCACATAACTGGCCTATTTGTGTTTTGAATTTGGCACAGCAGGAAGTGACAACGAACTTTCACTACCTGATTGACTTTACGCTAATGGACAACATGAAACCATCAGTCGAGTGACCAAGTTGTTGTAAAATCATTGTTATTATGCTGAAATGGTGGATTGCTGATAGTTGCAGCGGTACTGCAACACCAGATGTCTGTCTGTACTGCTTTCCAGTGGCTACGAATGTAAAAACTGCTTMGATCAGATTGATTCTTCTACTCACTGCCTGTGTTGTTGGCCATCTTTGTAATGTKCTGTTTACATGCAGGTGTTCCTCTTCTTCAATACTGTAATTGATGTTATTTTTCTAATAATGCATTTGTATTTATTAGAAACATTTAATGTCACAGGTACTTAAATGGGATTTGCTTACAAATATGCTTGTGAACAAATCAGTTACGCATAAATAATTCAAGTAGCCTTATGCCAAAAGGGTGGTTGATTAACAGGACATGTAAATGTGTTCATGTATTCATCCATTCAGAAAAAAAGTAGCAACGCTGCTTTAYTAATAGCTTAAAAACATTCTTGCTTTTAAAAAACATATACATTGTGGGCCAAAGTGAGCTTCATTTACAGGACTCAGGCACTACCTGTTAGTAATATCAGCCAATTAACCAGTTTATTTCTAGTCAGGAACCTACTGAAACTCATGTTAAAGATTTATTCACTTAGAATACTTAAGGTTGTTGATTTTACCTTAAAGTAGACATATCATGCTTAAAGGGATCCACGATTAGTTGTAACATTTGACTTTATTTGATAAACATTTATTTTAACTGTAAAATAAAGACTGTAGAAATACTGTAGGCTAAGTTTTGTAATTTTTTTAAATATATTTTAACACTGATGGAGCCATTTTATTTACACGCAAAGCATTCTGGGTAAATGATGACATGGATAGGTTCTCGGTGTGAGCGAGCTATATCCACCCTGAAGGTTAATCTTAGACAATATCTGATGATCGACTTTTAAATGAAACCAGAGAGCGTTGACAGAGAGGAGAAGGTAGAAATCATTTAGTCTACAAYTGAAAATATGGATGGAGGACAACAGAGCTGCTTCATGGAAGAATCTCAGCTTAGCTTGTTAGGTTTAATGTTAGCGCCGATGCTATATTGCTTTATACTGCCTTGTATTAGCTTGGTGCTAGCGCGACAAACTAACAAGCTAAACTGAGGTCCTCCATCCATATTTTCAGTTGCAGGCTGAGTCATTTTTGTGTTCCCCTCTCTGTCATGTGGATGGAGGACCTCAGTGACAAGAGGAGAATGTGTAGCGCTGAGCTAATACATATATATGGTGATAGCGTAGGGGCTAACGCTAAAGCTAACAGGCTAGGCTGAGGTTCTTCTTCCATGAAGCAGCTCTGTTGTCCTCCATCCATATTTTCAGTTCCAGGCTGAGTCATTTCTACCTTCTCCTCTCTGTCAACGCTCTCTGGTTTCATTTAAAAGAGTCGATCATCAGATATTGTCCAAGATTAACCTTCAGTGGGGATATAGCTCGCTAGCAGCCTCGCACCGAGGACCTATCCACGTCATAATTTACCCAGAATGCTTTGCGTGTAAATAAAATGGCCCCATCCGTGTAATATATTTTTTAACTTTTGGTTTAAAATTTATGAAAACTAAACATCCTACAGTATTTTTACAGCCTTTGTTTTACAGTTAAAATACATGTTTATCAAATAAAGTGTAATGTTACAACTAATCATGGATCCCTCTAAATGCTTCTTTTTCACATGTAAATCCTTCAGTTGRGGTCTTTATAGAGTGAAACTGCAGAGCTTTGGTTTGAATTCTTCCTTATTTTAACTTTACAAGCCCCTCTTTCACCCCTTTTCTGAAGTGCGTCTCAGATCAACTCGTTTTGAGGCTGTCCTTTTAAATCCAAAAGAGGCACTTCATGCCCTGCTCCCCTTTCAGCTTCCAGAGTGGTCAATTCCAGTTTGATAGTAGGGTTTACGACTAGCACTGCAGCACCGAAATATTTTATTTACAAGTTAATTAAAATATGTCAACAATGGAAGACTAATCCATTTAATCTTATATGTTGGAGCCAGAGTATGACCCAAAGCCAACTAAATTTTAGTAGGTCAGTCCCGACCTTATTTGGCAGTTCCGTCGCAAATACTTTAACATAATAGTTCAGAAAACAACATGGAAAATAAAGAAAACTGGACTGGTTGAAAAATATAACCCAAACAAAATATAAAAGTATCCATGCAGAACCAGGAGAAATTAAACTTTTCTGCACTCCTAGAGACTCCAAATACACAACAAAATGCATTTAATGGCTAAAAAGTTGTTGTTGTTTTGTTTAGTTTTTGCTTTGCATACTTATATTTATGTAACTAGGTGTTTTAATGATTTGGCCGACTTTTCGGTTAATCTAAACAATAATCGACAGATTAACTGATTATTAAAAATAAACACTATTTGCAGCCCTACATAATATCTCCCCTTTAATAATTAATGTTTGTTTAAAGATAACTTAATTATAATATGGGATTATATTTCACTCGTGTCAATTCTTGGATTTCAAAATYCTTTATAATCTGTGTTTTACTCTGGTTTACACAAAAGTTCACCTTAGTCTGTCAGCTGTCAATCAAGAGAAAATAAATATGCCCACCTAAAAAAAGATTTCATTTAGTTTATTTTAACCTAATGTACAGCTCATGTGTCATTTCAGACTGACAAATATATGTATATGTTCCCTCAATTAGTTAARTTATCCAACAAGAAGAAATACGGTCAAATAAACGTAAACTGGGCCTGCATCAAATGACCTGCAGYAGATCAGACTTCTGTTTACTTTTACTCAACATAGAAATCAGGAGCAAATAACACAACAATCACTTAAATATATAAACTAACACTGAATAGTATTAAACTCGTTTRGCTGTATTTCAAGCAGAATCGTGTTTATAAGGTTCCTGTATCTCAGCATAAGTTGGCCTCCGACTCATTAAAATCTCTAAAATCGTTGTTTTGCTTTAAATGTAGCTAAATACGGAAATTTCAAACTATATGCAATATAATTTAGATCAAAAGAGGGGAAACTAGTTAAAACTGAAACTACTTTTATACTTGCTGCTGAGTAGAACATTTGCAATTATAAAGCGCCGTCGCGTGTATTTTTTAAATAAACACATTGTAGGCAAATAAACCAATTTACTGACACTGACTTGATAAAATGCAACTGTAAATATTTAGACATTTATTTGGACTGTGAGTTTAAAAAGCGCTACCTAGTTCCTCCTTTTCCTCTGATTAGCAAGTGAGCTAATTAGCTGCAGACAGTTGAGTGTTGAACGGAGTTAGCAAACTTAAACAACTTAGGTACAACTTTGTAGTTTGAGTAGCAGTGTTAACATTTGCTACGTTCTCAAAATAAATAAACATTTTAAGACAGAAACTTACCTTTTGTTAAATGTCTACTGCTGTTCCCCTCTTCTCTGCTGGACTTTTGAGGATTTTATCGTCAAAGCAGCCAGCTATTAGGTCAATGTGGCTAACTCTTGGTTCTCGGTGTTGGCTAACATCCGTTAGCCYGTGTTAGTGATTTGTTTTGAAGCACGAGCTAACGTTAGCTAGCTTAACTTGGCAAGCGTTGTCTTTGAAAACTGGCAATACACAGATCCCCCACATTAACGGCTTCTTACAATTAAAAGGTATTATTTTGGATCAACATGGTATGGTTCGTACTCACGCTCAAATAATTCAAACGCGAGGCTGAGTTTAGCATGCAAAGCAAGAAAAACTCAGTCATAAATTTCGAATCAAAATGGCGACATTGTTACGAGAGCGCGCAAGAGACAGGGACGCGCGTGCAGAGCTGTAAATAAGGTATGGAGCCCTGTTTCTGCCAAAAAAAAGAGGCTCTGTGCCATGGTAAGGCCATTTAAAAATAATAATACAAAGGCGAAAGTGATAAACAAAATCTAATTATAACAATAATCATGGTATTGTAAGTAAAATTGGAGTTTAAAAAGCCATACAATGGAACCAAAACACTTGCTAAGTATTTGAAGTCATAATACAGTGTATTAATAG